GACAGAGTACCGCCTATGAACCAGAACTGGCAGAATCGTTATCAATGCTCAAGTCGGGTAACACTACCCTTCACAAGGACTTGGCTGATTGGGAAGAAAAGGACGGCTTCTTGTACCACAAGAAGCGCCTTTACATCCCAAATGATCTAGAACTACGACAGGAGGTCGTTCGACTCCACCATGATCTACCCACGACCGGACACCGCGGACAGTTTGCCACCATAATCGCTGTAGGACGGGAATTTTGGTGGCCAGGCATGACGCGATTCATCCGCAACTATGTCAAGGGATGTACTACGTGTCAAGCGACTAAGAACCAGACCCATCGAGACCCAATCCCCATCATGCCAATACCAGCCACCTCGACACTTCCATTCCAGACAGTCACTATGGACTTTATCACGGAACTACCCAAATCCGACGGATACGACGCAATCGCAGTCTTCTGTGACCATGACTCAAGCAAAGCTGCAGTCATGGTCCCATGCAACAGCACAATCACAGCCGAACAAACTGCGGACATCTATTTTCAACACGTCTTCCGGAGATTCGGGCTTCCCCAGATAGCGATATCTGACCGCGGGACACAGTACAACTCGGCATTCCTCAAAGAACTATATCGGAAGTTACATATTGATCAACGATTCTCCACGGCGTATCACCCACAGACAGATGGAGGAACAGAACGAGTCAATCAAGAACTGGAACAATTCTTACGAGCATTCTGCAACTACAGACAGAACAATTGGGCCAAGCATCTCCTATTCGCCGAATTCGCTCACAACTCGGCACAACACTCATCCACCAAGGAATCGCCGTTTTATCTTCTCATGGGATACCAGCCACGCTGGTTCCCAGAAATGAACGAACAGACCACAGTCCCATCCATCAAACATCGCCTTACAGAACTACGGAAGGCCCGCGCAGATGCGGAAAGTTCACATCAGATCGCAGCCGACATCATGAAACAACGAATTGAAGGACAACCACCCCTATTCAAGAAAGGGGACAAGGTTTGGCTGGAAGGAAAGAATATCACGACGACTCATCCTTCTGCCAAACTTAGACCAAAGCGATTCGGACCTTTCCGCATAGGCGATGTGCTCGGACCAATCACCTTCAAGCTCAAACTCCCATCGACATGGAAGATACATCCGGTGTTCCATGCAGGACTCCTCACGCCATACGTCCAGACCAAGGAACATGGCCCATCTGCCACGTATCCGCCACCAGACATCATCAACAACGAAGAACAGTTCGAAGTTGATGAAATCTTGGATGCGGAATGGAGATCACCCGGAGGCCGCAGTAAACCAGAACTGCACTATCTGGTACACTACACAGGATATCCTGACTCGGATAACGAGTGGCGGCCACATCACGAATTCCACGAGGATGACCAAGTCGTCCTCGATTTCTATGCGCAGAATCCGCAGGCTCCCTCAAGACACAGTCAACCAAGTACACGTCGACGCACAAGGCCACGTCAGCGTTGAGTATAAGAAGGGGGGTAAATTTGCCCTAAATCGAAAACTCAACGCCTCCTCAGCCTCTTCACATCCTCCAAACTGATATTCAAACCAACTCACCACATGGCAAATGCCCAAGACACGCAACATCCGCCCGAAGCGACTACGGTCAATGTCACCCTCCCTAGAAACAGCCTCGTTCCCTACGACGAATCCCAACCTAGCTCACCCACGCTTGCCGAAGAAGACGAAGTTAGTTCAATACCGAGACCTGCGTCGAGAAGATCCTCAGGCACCGATCGCATCGTCTTCAGCGCCCACTTCGGGATCATCGGCACTAACGACAACACATCCATCCCCAATCCCAGGATACGTCACAATGGCGAATCCCAGCACGTACTATCCAACATCAACGCCAGAGAGGATGCCATTCTTCGACTCTTACTCAACCTCGTTACCAATCGACCCTACCTCTTTCGCATCATGGGGCCTGACCTCGAATGGTTACAACGAAGGGCCGGAGAACTCGGATATCAATTGGATCCAGAACGAAGCTCATCCACGTCACAATCCCCTCCTGAATCAAACACCGACCCAATCCCAGTACCTCCACCCTCCTCATATGCCAATCCCCACGTTACCATATCCTCCAATCACAATGGATCCTCGGACTCAGAACCTCGCCACGGAATCCACCGTGTCCCAACTCCCATGCCTGGAACTCGCTCCAATGACCCATCTCCCCCGCAATCCACCTCTTCCAATTCCACCCCTGAATCTAACGCCTCTTCCACCCTTCCGAACCTCCCTGGACTGTTCCACGACTGGCTCACAAACCCAGCTACCCATGCCCAGGCTAGCGCAGCCATCGACGCCTGTGGAAACGAGAGAGTCCAACGTTTTGCTCACAAATACATCGAGGTTACAGAGGCAATTAGAGAACGAAGAAAGGAATTGGGACGATTGGAGATGGAGGAAGCCAGATGCGAACGAAGCTTGGGAGCTCTCGACTGGGATCGACGGAGCATTGCAGGTACCCTTATCGGTCTACGCGCAGAATCTGTCATCTTCCCCCACGTCTTTCCTACAGTCGGACTATCAAATTCTGGAACAGCATCTCGACCAAGCCCATCCGGCACCTTCCCCAACCAATCAGCGAACCCTATCACCGAAACTCCTAGCTCCCATCACACGCACTCCTCAGACTCTCACCCCTCCGGAAGAAGTGGCGTCCCTAGTATCCGCATCTTCCAAGCTCCCTTTAGCCGAGAACTCACTCCCTCGCCACCTGATGGATCTTCCGGTTACGCCTATCCAAGCGGAATGGGAAGCAGCCTTCAAATTCCTCGAAACGGACACCTTCCTGGGCGAGACTCCTCGAATGCTTCCGACTACCATGCAGACCGCTCCCAGACTACATCGATTCAAGCAGTCCGCGGTTCCACGACGAGACGCCCAGAGTCTTCCATACAGCGTCGAGGCAACCATGGGATTAGATGCTGGGAGTGTGGAGACCTCGGGCATACTAGGAGAGATTGTCACAATATGCGCAGGAGGAGAGCGGGACTTCCAAACGGAAGAGAAGGAGACGCCATTCTCGATGGAATGATCGATGACATTCTTCAGAACGCCCACTGACATTTTCTCTCAGGACCCACATCATTTCCGTGTCTCCTTTCCCATAAGATCTAATTATATGCCCTTGACCCACATCCTTTCCGACTCAGTGACTCGATCGCTTACTATTTCTTGAACAGACATTTTATTTATCGAACCAAGTTCCTTTTCCTTATATATATGTGGCCCCAGATCGTTCCCCTTTCCCTCACTCTCCTACTCCTCTTCACCCTTATCCCAGTCGTCCTCACTCCACCATGCCCGCTCAACGCCGTACTTCCTTCCGCTGTAATTGCTCTTGGAGAACGTTCCCCCACTCCAAGCCCCGCCACTGCGACCAAGACGCCGCCCGACGAGCGGGACGCCAACCCGACCTTAGCCATCTCACTACTACACATGAATATCCCCGCCGCCGTTGTATCGATTGTGGTGTTCCCTTCACCACCTCCCATCGCCGCTCCCTCGAATGTCCCGAGTGTGGCGTCACCATCGCCAAAACCAGTAAATCGGCCTCCGCCATGTACGACCGCGACGAGCACGTCTTTGTAGGAACGCACGAGCAGTGGAAGGAGTGGAAGGCGGAGCAGGAGTTATGCACGGTGTGTCACGCAGAGCAGTGGGAGAGTGCGCAGACGGAGATGTGTAGAGGATGTTGGAAGAAGAAGTTGGAGGAAACGAAGAGTATCGAGTGGTTACGACGACAGGCAGAGTGGAGGGAGGACACGGAGGATTTTGGGCGATGGAAGCAGGAGATTTCCTGGTGCATGTCGCAGAAGCACCCCCTTCATGACGAACTCATATGCCGTATGGAATTCGACGCCCCCATCCTTCACCCCGTCGTCTACCCTAATCCCCACCGCAATGCCTATCTCGCATGGGTCAACGCCGACGAAGCCTATCAACCACAGGAACACCCCCTCCAGCCCATGGCCTATCTCCACCAGCATCCCCTCATCAACAACCGCTCCCCATCTCCTCCTACCTTTCCCACTTCCATGGCCCGCGAATTCAATTCTCCGTATAAGAGTCTCGAGGCGCGACTGACGTAGAAGGGGGGTAATGTTATGGACTATATTTTTCGTCTTCTCTTCGTCTCGACATGTCTGATACCGTAGGAGACACGGATGTGCAGTCTCAGTTCCTTTTTATTTAACTACATACACATCATCCACTCATATGGCCGGTTGATGAACATTCCATGGACCTGTAGCCGTGTCTCGACTCCTTTGTATTCTCGACTACGGACTACCTCATTTCTCATAGCCTCGGACTGTGCTTCATAGCCTTGCATAGGCTTTGTACTATAATTATTGGGTACAGGATTCCGCACCGACTACGGACTGGGGCACAGTACTAGCACGACTCGGTCTGACTTACTTATTAGTTTCATAGCCTTCTGCGGCTGCGCATGTATGTACTATATAAGGACGACC